GGGAGACCAATTTAACTAAATGATAACCAATGTAAAACTGAAATTCCCTTGGACTAAATATTTGAGTAACATAGTTAAGGACTTAATGCACCACTCCACACACACAAAGCAATTCAGCTGGCTTAAGTGCTTTATGGGTGAGGAGTATGGAATTTTAAATGCAGTTCATACAAGTGACCATTTCTTTCAAAAATTGTCACTTTTATGATCAGACTTACCTACCTGGCTGCTTGAGAGATTTACTGCCTGTGAACTAAGGGGCAGAGAAGTTCATACTGGTCTACACGAATCTTATCAGGGATATTTGTGTAAGATCTGTGTAAGTTATATAGCTTTGTTTTTTTGTTTTGTAGGTCTTAGTTTATGAAATTTTGGAACAATGTAACATTTGTCATCTCGTTTTTAAAATGTTGATATTATTCTGTCTTATGGCTCTAGTATCTGAATTTACATAGTGTCCCCTCCTGCCCTTGTCCCATAGTGTCTCCCCCTCCCCTTGTCCCATAGTGTCCCCCCTCCCCTTGTCCCATAGTGTCCCCCCCTCCCCTTGTCCCATAGTGTCTCCCCTCCCTTTCTCCCATAGTGTCCCCCTCCCCTTGTCCCATAGTGTCTCCTCCCCTCCCCTTGTCCCATAGTGTCCCCCCTCCCCTTCTCCCATAGTGTCTCCCCTCCCTTTCTCCAATAGTGTCCCCCTCCCCTTGTCCCATAGTGTCTCCTCCCCTCCCCTTGTCCCATAGTGTCTCCCCCTCCCCTTGTCCCATAGTACCTCTCCCTTCTCCCATAGTGTCTCCCCTCCCTTTCTCCCATAGTGTCCCCCTCCCCCCTTGTGTCCCATAGTGTCCCAGGCTGACCCTGAATTACCCGGCACAGTGGAACATCCCTAATGCCTACCAAATAGTGTCTCCCTTCCTCCACTAAGAAAAAACACACACTTAACTACCGTATCTTTTCGCTCCATAAGACGCCCCTTTTCCCCCCTCAAAAGTGAGGGGAAATGTCTGTGCGTCTTATGGAGCGAATCCCATATTACTTACCTGTCTTGGAGCGTGGGCCGGCTTCACAGCGCGCTCCACGGTCCAGGAACTTCTATTTCAGGTTCCGGTTTCCGGCGGGACTGAAAGGAAGTGTGCACACTGTGCACTTTCAGTCCCGCCGGAAACCGGAACCTGAAATAGAAGTTCCTGGACCGCGGAGCGCGCTGTGAAGCCGGCCCACGCTCCAAGACAGGTAAGTAATTCTTCACATTCGCTCCATAAGACGCACAGACATTTCCTCTCACTTTTGAGGGGGAAAAAAGTGCGTCTTATGGAGCGAAAAATACGGTAGACTGTAAGCTCGTTTGATCAGGGTCCTCTTCAACCTATTGTTCCTGTAAGTTTTTGTAATTGTTTTATTTATTTTTAAATTTCCCTCTCTTTTAAAATTGTAAAGCGCTACAGAATATGTTGGCGCTATATAAATGCCAATAATATTAATATATTATGGATTAAACAGCTTTTTGCAATGCAACAGTGAGCAGGGCAAGACAATTTTTTATAGAAGGCTCCAGTGCCAAAGGTTAAAGGGTCATTCCACATATTACAACCACAACATTATCATAGTAGTTATGGTACAAGAATGCAAATGGTGTATGTGGAGTCTCATATTAGTGACAGGTTATACAATTGGAGGCAGAAACACCGACCTGGCTGTCTCTCAGACAGCCAAGGAAGTTTCCTCTCTCTTCCAATAGCCCCACAGTGCTAATTGAAGCAGCCTGCACGCTGTCTTCCCTCTCTCTCTTGGACGTATCGCTTAAAATTTATATTTTTTGCATGAGTGTAAACAATAATAGTAATAGTTAGAGATGGTCTTTATCCAAATTTGAGTTTCTGAACTGTTTTAAAGGAACACTATAGTTTCTGGAATACAAACCTTATAAAATAACAGTTTAGGTCCTGGCCCCCCTTACCTCTGGTTAAAAAGGTTGAGTTTACTTTTACTCTTTTTCCAGCACCGCGTGGGTCCATTGCAGCTGGCTTTGCCCACGCTCCTCCTCCAGCTGATTGAGAAGCATAGGAAAACTGTGATTGGAATTACACCCGGTCTCACAGCTACACACCTCTCAATGCAGTGGATGTGATCTATTTGGATTTTGCCAAGGCATTTGATACAGTTCCACACTATAGATTAGTGTTCAAACTCAAGGAAATCGGTCTAGATCAGTGATGGCGAACCTATGGCACGCGTGCCACAGGTGACACGCCGGGCCCTTTCTGTGGGCACGCGGCCATAGGTTCGCCATCAATGCAGAGTAGGCACCGGCCTGCCCAAAACGGCAGGCGCCTACTCTGCTTCTGTGTCGGGAGGCAGGGGTAGGGATCTGTGAAGCAAGCTGTGTGGAGCGCTGCCGCGCGTTACCATGGCAACGCTCCACACAGGATCGCGCGGGAGGACAAGGGAGCTGCTTCACAGATCCCTCCCCCTGCCTCCCGACACGGAAGCAGTGCATACCACCAGGGATGGCTGTGTCCCCTCCCTCATTAAAGGTAAGAAGGAGGGAGGGGTGGGATACTGATTTAGCATACTTTTTTTTTTTTTTTTTATACACCTTTACCCCAGCCCCACACAGCACCCCTCCCCAGCATTCCTCCCCCACACCCAGCTCCCCTCCACCCAGCATCCCTACCCCCCTACTCCCCCCACAACACACACAGCACCCCACACACAAACACATGCACTACACCCCTCAATGCAGTATGTGTGTGTATTCAGTGGACTGTGTGTGTTTGTGTATGTATTCAGCAGTCTGTGTGTGTACTCAGCAGTCTGTCTGTATGTGTATTCAGCAGACTGTGTGTGTATTCATCAGTCTCTGTATTCAGCAGTCTTGTGTGTATGTATTCAGCAGTCTGTCTGTGTATTTAGCAGACTGTGTGTGTGTGTGTGTGTATTCATCAGTCTCTGTATTCAGCAGTCTTGTGTGTGTGTGTGTGTATATTCAGCAGACTGTGTGTGTATGTATTGCATTTGTTGGAGATACTAATAAATATAAGCCTAATGTTATCTATGTATATCATTATTTAAAATTTGTATCATTGAACTCTCTGTTGTGTTCTTTTAAAACAAAAGTTGTTATTAGTTCGGACAACAGTACGAGTTGTTTTTTCTAAAATTAAACCTCAGTATTGAGGTTTAATTGCCATGTTGGCACTTTAAGGAAAAAAAAGTTGGCATGTATTGCGGTTTGGGAACTCGGGCTCAAAAAGGTTCGCCATCACTGGTCTAGATGAATATTCTTGTTCTTGGGTAGAACATTGGCTTAAAAGAGTTGTCATAAATGGTAAATTTTCCAGCTGGACAGAGGTGGCAAGTGGTGTCCCTCAGGGGTCTGTTCTGGGACCCCTTCTATTTAACATGTTTATAAATGATCTTGAAGACAGCATTGAAAGTCATGTTTCAGCGTTTGCAGATGACACAAAACTCTGTAAAATAATACAATGTGAGCAAGATATTACTTTGCTGCACAGGGATTTAGACAGACTGGGGGACTGGGCACTCAAATGGCAGATGAAATTTAATGTTGGAAAATGCAAAGTTATGCACTTCGGCGTAAAGAATACACAAGCAATGTATACATACCATTAATGGAAGCGAATTAGGGATAACAACACACGAAAAGGACTTGGGAATTGTTATAGACATCAAACTATGCAACAATGTGCAATGTCAATCAGCAGTGGCCAAGGCCAGTAATGTATTGTCATGCATGAAAAAGATCATTCATTCTTGAGACGAGAATATCATGTTGCCTCTTTATAAATCACTGGTAAGACCACATATTGAATATGCTGTGCAATTTTGGGCACCTGTTCTAAAGAAGGATATTATGGCACTAGAAAAAGTGCAAAGGCAGGCTACAAAACTAATAAAAGGAATGGAACATATCAGCTATGAAGAAAGGTTAACAAATTTAAACCTATTTAGTTTAGAAAAACGTCGCCTGAGAGGGGATATGATAACATTATACAAATATATTCGGGGCCAATACAAACCATTGTGTGAAAATCTATTCACAAACCGGACTTTACATAGGACACGAGGTCATGCGTTTAGACTGGAAGAAAGAAGATTTTGTCAAAGGAAAGGCAAAGGAAAGGTTTTTTTACTGTAAGAACAATACGGATGTGGAATTCTCTGCCTAAAGAAGTGTTTTTATCAGAGTCCATACAGATGTTCAAACAGCTACTAGATGCATACTTGCAAAAACAGATATCTTTCAATGGAGAGTAATAACTGCTTGATCCAAGGATAAATCTGACTGCCATTCTGGGGTCAAGAAGGAATTTTTTTCCTAGCTTGTTGCAAAATTGTGCTTCAAACTGGGTTTTTCGCCTTCTTTTGGATCAACAGCAAAAAACAAATGTGAGGAAGGCTGAACTTGATGGACGCAAGTCTCTTTTCAGCTATGTAACTATGTAAGAAGCCTTTGATTGGTATATTCCCTAGCACAGACTGAAAGTCAGTACCAGGGAAAGATGGGAGGGTTTGCCAAATCTGTAGCTTTTGCAAGTCGTTTTTTCATATGCCTCAAAAGAAAACATGCAGAAAAATATACATTTTAAATGAAGTGTTCCTTTAAGTTGATCCTTTAAAAAAGATTTATGCAGCAGTTGACACAGCCCGTCCAATGCTGTGCATCTGGGCACTAGTTGCAAAGATTTGTGATGAAGTTGTTACAGTGCCCTGTGTGTCTCTTTAACTTGCTTTTTTGATATATTATTATTTAGGTGTGTGCATGCACATATAAATTGTTATAGTATCTGAGGTCAGATTGCAAACTGGTGATATTACTTTGCATTCCTTACAAATTGTTTTGCTGGTTAGAACATTCTATTGTATGCTCAACTTTGACATAGTGTGTATATGAACTTGCAAGTGATGTGACCTATTTCCTGTGTAATTCCTTTCACTTAAATTAACATTTCAAATGTAGCTCTCTAATATCTTTGCTTTCATTTGTACAGGAATCAGAATGGATCAAATTTCACCTGAAGCCCATGGATGGTCTATTCTTCAGAAGCTGAATGAACAAAAATCCATGGGGCTTTTTTGTGATGTCTCGTTAATGGTGGAAGGTAAAATATTTCTTGCCCACAAAAATGTCCTTTCTGCATGCAGTGAATACTTTTATGCAGCACTGAGCAGGAATGAGCAGCAGCAATTCCTGGTTCTTGACAATGTTTGCTTAGAAGGCTTTAGTCATCTTCTGGACTTCATATACTCGTACAAAATCCCCTCATGTCATGTACAAGACTTTATGCAGGCTGCCCAAGTCCTTCAAGTTAGCTTGCCACTCACAATTGAAGTTGTCAATGTTTCCAGCAGCCCGCACACTAATGCTCCAAAGGAGGAAATTTGCATTCCAGATGAGGATTACGATGTTCCTGACCAAAACTTAGAGATAAGAGAAATTGAGAGCCAGCCATTAAAAAGAAATCATGATGATAACATTTCTGGCGTCAACAGTTCAATCTATAGTGAAGAGAGAAGAAGATTTGAGACCGTATCCCAGCTGAAAGACAAAGCCAAAATGTTCAAAAAACCTACATTTTATAAAGATTCCTTTTCCATCAGAAACCCAAACTACTTTATCAGCAAACAAATCGGCAAAAGTGCAAGGATGGGAAGAGGAAACCCTGAAGAACCTCGAGAAAGTTCCTTCCACAACCCTGCTTTTGCTAGGCAGATGCCTATTACAATTCACAATGATGGATCTTCAGAGGAAGCAGATGATGAGGCAGCTGACATTTGCATTAATTTATGTGATGAGCAAGATACCCCTGATATTTTGTCGTCTCACACCATTAATGATATGAGAATGCAGAAAGAAACTGTTAAGCCTAAAATTTATTCAACAATTGTTGGTTTGCAGGGTGGTGGAGTATTGGAACGAGTGGACAGTGAAGAAAGACATTCAGAAGTGGTACACAAATGTGATAGGTGTGATCTTCTACTTACCTACTCAGAGTACCTCAATCACCAAGATGATCCAGGAGTGAACTTGCTTCATTGTAACTTCTGTGAAAAGCAGTTCAATTACAGGTAATAATTACTCTATAACTAAACACTTGGTTAAAAGGACACTTCATACCCCTAAAGATCTTCAGCTTGTGCTGAAGTGCTTTTGTGTGAAGTGTGTGTTTTTCAATTCTACACGAAGGGCAGAGTCCTATGGAAATTAGAACTTTTATAAATACGCACACACACACTCTTTATCTCAGCAAATTCCCAGAGCACTTGCGTTGCATTGATTTTTTTTATTGAGCTGCATTGGGAAGTCTGTGATTGAACAGCTACAGAATGTCTGTTCAGGGTTAGGAGGGGAGGGTTTTCAAATAATTCATACAAGGGAACTGTAGCTTTTGCAAGCTGTTTTTAGAAGTACCCCCCAATTAAAAAAAAAAGAAAACACAAAAACATAATTAAATGCATGCAGGTTTTCATTGGCGCTATATCCACTAAACATTTTTATATTTAATTACGTATGTATTTGGGCAGTGGAGTATCTCTTTAAAGCCAAATGTAAACACAGCCTGTAATATTGATGCAAATTAGACTAATGTCCAACATCAGGAGGTATGAGACCAGGATGTGAGTGGGAAGACCTTTTGGCATGTTTGGGTGGGCCTTGCCTTGGAAATGGCCTGTCATGTAGATCGTGCTGCTGAAACACTTTTGCATGTTGTGTTGGTGTTTGATTGTATGCATATGCACTGCTGCATACGTACATGTTTACACACACACACACACACGCACATACCTTGACAAAGATACATACTGATAGATACACTTTGACACACACACTCTCATACATACATACACACACACACACACACACACACAATCTGACATACTCATAGACACATACATGTTATCATTTAAAAAAATATCTTTATTTGAGTTTTGTTTTTTCACATAGAAGAGAAATAGAGATGGAAGAACTTAAAGCATATGTTATAACCTTGGTCACATGTATTCTGCATTGGTGACATGTTATAATTTTTATATTTGCAGCCACCCTCCTGTTAGCTTACCTTTTGTGTGCAGGAGGGGTGCTTGCCTGAGGTCCTGATGGCTGAGGCTGATTGGAGTGAGTGTGAAGCTCACTCTTGATTCTCTTCCAACAGCTGCTGCCTGTGCCACCGCCTTCTCCCTCCCTCGTGGCCTTATATTTAAGCTGGGAGGAAGTGACTGGCTTTCACTTCTACCCAGCTGGCCAAAATCACAGGGGCCCAGCTACAGCGCCCAACCATGCCCCTGTCCAGCAATACAGAAATAATAACTATCGGGTGGCCCTAAGTCCATGGACCCCCAAAGCGTCCAAAAGCACTGGCTGCTCCGGCAGCAGCACTGGCTGCACCTAGCTGATGGCGCTATTTCATGCTGACTCATGGCCATTTGACTTTTATTTGTTGGGTAACTAGCTAATGTGCTAGATATCCATTCCAGTTGTTAAGCGGCACTGTCACTCCCTGCCACTCTCATGGGAAAAAAAATTGTATTTCATAAAGATAGAATCTTTATGAAATACTCATATTGTTGGATTTTCGCTGAAGGGAATTGGCTTTGTTTATGGAGGATCTTGTAGGATCCTCTATAGACCTCAGGGCTGTACTCTCGTGCATGTGCAAGAGATCAGCAGTGACGTTTCTCTGAATGAGCTGAAGAGGATACAGCCGGGGACAGGTTCAGGTAAATAGAATTCACCTTTGCCTGTCCCACCGAACCCCCAAAGGCAATGTCACCATCAGGGGGTCCTTGCAAACTCTGCAAAGTCACCAGAGCTGAGAGTTCCGCTTAATCTCCTGCACATAGGTTTTTGACCTTTAACGCTAACTCAGAAGACCCCTTTGTTGCTTGATTTGATATAACCATGTTATATTACTGGATTACAATAACTGGTGCCCATTACACATTACAATACTCCAGCATTATAATATGTATTTATTCATAAAGCTGGAGTTTTCCTTTAACATTGGCTGTTAAACAAAGTAGAGTGTTACTACCTTTTGAGCGGTTTTGTTACAAAGCGTATTTCTTTATTCTGCTCCTCATTTAGTTGCCAGCTTGCTCTGCACCAGTCCAGCCACCTTGACAAGAAGTTCTACCAGTGTGAGCAATGTGGGAAGGAGCTAAGTACCCTCAAGAAATTGCATGATCACATTGCGTACCACTCGGATGCCAGACCCCACAAATGCCGACTTTGTGATAAAGCCTACAAGGTGAAAAGTAAGTACTCTGATAACTTGCTGCAGTAGTTTATGTTTGCCTTATGTTTGTCTACATGTTTAAAACTGCATAAATATTGTCGGGAAGTGTGAGGGGATAATTTTAGAGACTTTGCAATTTGGTTCCTTGTGCAAAAAAAATAATTCCATTAAAGGACCACTATATGCACCCAGACCACTTCAGCTTAATGAAGTGGTCTGGGTGCCAGGTCCATCTAGTGTTAACCCTGCAGCTGTAAACATAGCAGTTTCAGAGAAACTGAGAAAACCAGTCTCTAGTGGCTGTCTCACAGTGAGAAGACGCCAGCGTCCATAGGAAAGCATTGAGAATGCTTTCCTACGGACTGACTGCGCGAGCGGCTCTTGCTGTGCATGTACATTCAGCCGATGACGTCCAAAGGTGGAGGAGAGTCCCCAGCGCCAAGGGAGCCCGGCACTGGAGAAAGGTTAGTGATTAACCCCTTCCTCCAACTTCAGCCCGGCGGGAGGGGGGCCATGAGGGTGGGGGCACCCTCAAGGCACTATAGTGCCAGGAAAACTAGTTTGTTTTCCTGGCACTATAGTGGTCCTTTAATAGCTTAGTGGAATACAGTTTGAGAATAACATTTCTAAAACATTGGTTACTTAATAGCACATATTTGTGCATTCTCTGTTTTTCTTTGGCAAAGATTCTCCAAGTTGACCTGTCCACTTTCTTGTAATGCACAAGAAGAAAGGAGAAAAAGTAGATGTATTTATCTGAAGCTTTCCCTCCTCTTCACTGCCATCTTCAAGTTCAGCTTTTAAAGGAACACACCAGGCACCATAACAACGTCATCCCCGATCAGCTGACTATAAGCAACATCCAGTTTGAGGCGTTCTGATTGAAGCCTTTGACTGAAAAGGAAGTGAAAGGGTTGAGCCAAGGGGTGCCTTATTAAAGACTTTAGGGATAAAGGGTACCTGTCATGACAAATACAACTTAATTTTAAATGATAAAGAATCAAATTTAATCTATACATTGCGCTAGCAAATGTCTAGATTTCTCTAAAATCAGAGGTTAAAAAACAGAAGATCGCAGTCTCACCATATGTGTTTTGAGCTTCAAAAAATAATGAAAACCTTTATGGAAAAGGGCCTTTGAAGTACTATCAGAACTGGTTGGAGAAAATTTTCCATTTTAACATAAGAAAATTTTACAACTTAAAACGGATATTTAATAATTCAGCTCATGGCTACAAAAATTGTAATCTCAAGATATTGGCTACAGCAAGAAATTGCTACCTGGGTCCATGTTCTAACACCGCTCAAATATCAATATAATATGGAAAGGGGTATTTAGTTTCAAAATTAAAATAATCCTAGCTTTGAGAAAAGATGGTCGCGCTGGTTAAACTCCCTGATACAACTTTGACCCAAAGAACCCACTCTATTATGGGTCTTTCCCTACACTTATCGTATACATTCGTGCATTAAATCTCTGGCCTGACCACTGCCCAAATCCACTCTGTTATATTTCGTCTTTTTTTTTGTCTCGTTTGTCTGTTTTCTTTAGTGCATAACTATTTAATATATATTTTTGAATTCAGAAAATGCTTTGTATAGTCTTATGTAAAAATCATGTAATTAAAAATAAAGAAGTCATAGAAAAAAACAAAAACAGTCCTTTCTCCCTCTTCTCAGTCAGTTCAGGTAAGAAGCTGTACATGTTTGTTACTCTCCTCTTGGTGTCTCTCCTGCTTGCATTTGGCCTAAAGGAAAGCAATGTCTGCAAGAAAAATAAGGATGAAGGACCAGGCTCTTTGTGAAAGCAGCACTAGTAGCATCACAGATAGAGGAGATAATCAGCCAGAATAATTTATTGCAGCAGCTCTGGACAGGCAATCTGAGAATGGGGAGAGAGAACTGATATGTTTTATTTAAACAAAGCCGAAGACTTTTAACCTGTTTTGGGAAACTAGTCTAAGCTTCCAAACCATTGGTATGCAATAGAGGTGTGTCTTACAGCAAGTGTATCACCCACTGAAAACAAGATTAATACTTTCATCTAATAACATGGTAATGGAGATACATTAAAAAAATAGTTTTTAATAGTTTCAAGGAAGAAACACTTAATTGTATAATATGATAAAACTGCAAACATATATCTGTTATGATAGACTTATTTTAACAGTTTAATCTCTTGAGGTAAACTGGCCCCAACGACCTCCTCACACAATAACCATTTCATTATGATTAATGTAGAGATGAGAACGTTTGTAGTTCTTCAGAAGTATCTGTATTCCTGCATTATGTTTAATAAAAGTTATCTGATAATGATCAAAATCTAAATAATAAGTTTAGGGAGGGGCGTGGCCTAGACTCCAGCACGGATGGTCGCATGAAAGCTGAGCTCCGCAAGTAACTGAATGTAAACGACAAAACTCGGCAGAAATAACAGAGACAATGGCATCAAAAAAGCAGCGCAATACAGCGGGAATACCTGCCACTACCTCTGCTTCTTCTAAATCATCCCTACAGAGATTTTTCTCTGAGCAAGCGGAGTCGGTGCAGAGCGCCAAAATGGCACCTCAGACCGGTACACGTGGCAGCCGACTGACAAGCCTGTTGACCTCATAGTGCTCCATTGAGGATATTGACCTCCGGTCACTCATCACAAAACTCCCAGACATTTCTGCCATATTTCAGAGATTGGAAGACAGCATTGGGAAAAACACCTGGGTGACAGAGTGCAGGCCCTGGAGGATGATGGTGAAGTGGCAGAACAGCAATGGTCTGAATGCCACACCACTCAGAATCTACACGTGGAAGCTATTTTATATTTACAAAAGAAGCTGGAGGATGTAGACAACAGAGGGCGGCGGAACAATCTGCGGGTGAGGGGCATCCCTGAAAGCATGGAGGGAACCACAGAGGACCCTATACAGGTACTAACAAGATCCTCTCTAGGCCTCTGGACACAGCCATTAGGTTTGACAAAGCCCACAGAGCAACCAGGCCTCGAAACCTGCCGCAAGCTAAGCCGTGCGACCTTATATGTCATATCCATAACTTCCCACTGAAGGAAGAGATCTACCGGAGGGGCCCGTCAAACCAGTGAATTACAACATGAGGGCCACAGAGTGGCCATTTACCAGGACCTCTACCCAGCAACGCTTCTAGCCAAGAGAGCACTCCGGCCTATCACCCAATTTCTAATGGACAAACATATAAAATTCAGCTGGACTTTCCCTTTCGCCCTGGTGGTGACACAGCAAGGAAAAACCTACTCTATCAGCAAACCAATGAAGGTACCGGACTTCCTGCACTCCTTGGGCCTTCCACCCACCGAGTCTCTCAAACAACTACCTCAAAGTTACAGGTGGCAAAGAACACCGAAAAAACGCAGAAGACAAGTCCCACATGGTACCGAACACCCCTCCACACCTAGAGCCAAGGTTGCATTAAGACTCTCTTAAGGGTGGAAGCATATATCCTTTGCGCTAAGTTAACTTGCGAAATGGGGTACCCTCAGGTCCCCACTGTTTTAATATGTGATGCCGTTGGTTTCTGACTCCATTTTAGTATAATTGCTTGCGCCAAAGTAAACGTCGATAATATTTTAATCTGAAAAATGTAAGGTTTTCAGGGGCCTACGCTCCGGGTACAGTTCATGCGGTATAGATCGCGCTCATGCCGGTGGTATTCGCAAGATCCGTGGCACTACCAATGTGTCAGAAGCAACCATTCAATTCCCCTTACGGTAACTGGGCCCCCTACCCCCTAAGAGGTGCCCCCAACTACTTGTGGATACAACCACGTCTCCTACAGGTTTGGCATCATTCTCTCTGTCAGTATGAATAATTTAGATCATACTTATGTGTATAGTTTTTGTTCTTTGTCTGCCTACAGTTTGTTCTTTGTCCGCCTATAGACGTGGGGCCATCAATACAGCGATAACTCTATCACGAACCCAAAATGGCCCAAGTTAAAGGGACACTCCAGGCACCCAGACCACTTCTGCCCATTGGAGTGGTCTGGGTGCCAACTCCCACTACCCTTAACCCTGCAAGTGTAATTATTGCAGTTTTTTTTATAAACTGCAATAATTACCTTGCAGGGTTAACTCCACCTCTAGTGGCTGTCTAGTAGACAGCCACTAGAGGACACTTCCTTGTCCATAGCACAGAAAAAACACGCTGTGTGAGGACCTCCAGCGTCGCTCAATTCTCCATAGGAAAGCATTGAAAAGCATTTTCAATGCTTTCCTATGGAGAGCTCTAATGCGGGGATTGGGAGGTGAGAGGGAGAGGGGACCTGCAGTGCCAGGAAAACAGATTGTTTTCCTGGCACTGAAGAGTCCCTTTAACCTACTGTCATTACATGAAAGAGGCCTCAATACCCCAGAAAAGCGTACCATGATGACACAAGAATTAGATAGACAAAAAGCAGATATAACGTTCATCCAAGAGACCCATTATAAGGGAGAATTTCAACCTCGACTCAGATCTAAATATATATTAAAAAGACATACTGTAGCAACTACAGCAAGGGGAAAAATAGGGGAGTAGCCATACTGATGTTGTCATGCATTGCCTTCACAGAGCTTGACACCAAGATAGACCCCGGGGGGAGGATGTTGTTCGTCAAGGGGAAGGTAAATAACCAGCTAATTACCGTGGCGAATGTATATGCTCCGAATATGGATCAAGCAGCCTTTGCTTGCTCATGCCTGAGAAAACTGGAAAGGTGTTCAGAGGGGATTCTTATGTGGGGGGGTGATTGAAATATGGTACATGACCATGCAGTAGACTGCTCATCCAAGGCCAAAGACAACAAGTCCACCAAAGATCGTTGTTTCACGACACATTACAGTCACAACAACTAATGGACTGCTGGAGACTGCTACATCCACAGGACAGGGATTACACATTCTATTCCATCGCAGCGGGCAGTTACTCCAGAATAGATATGTTCCTCATTGGCCATAGACACCTCCATTTGGTACAAGGAGCATCCATAGGTAATATCACCTGGACCGACCACGCCCCTATATTTCTGACTATAAACACACAAGGTGACGCTAGACCCAACACCAACTGGCGCCTGAACGAGCCTCTCCTGGCTGACCTTCGGGCAGTGGATGATCTTCACACATTGAATAGGTACTTTGAAGAGAATAATACACCTGACACTACAGTCCCTTGGGTATGTGATGCATATAAGGGAGTCAATAGGGGAATCCTGATTAAATGGGGATCGAGGCTTAAAAGAGAGTGCACATCCAAGATCCAATCCCTCATTACAACCATTGACGATTTGGAGACCATGCATAAACAGACCCCAACACGAGATAACTTTCAATACCTAACAGCGCACAGGGGGGCATTATGGTCCCTATTAGCCATAAAAGCACATAGAGCAGTCCAACTGACAAGAAGCTCCTTTTATGCACATGGTAATAATAGTGGAAAGCTACTGGCAAGGGCCCTGAAGTCGAAACTCCAAAAGCCTTTTATAGCCAAGATATTAAATAGCAAGGGTCAGCAGTGCAACACCACAGAGAACATAGCCTCCACATTTAGGTACTTCTACCATAACCTTTACAATCTTCCACCCCCGACCTGTAACCCCCTGGACCTACGGGAATTCATTACCTCAAACCTCACAATCCCTAGCGTAACACCATTCTCTATAGAAGAAATCTCCGTAGCAGTTAAAACTATCCCCAAGGGCAAAAGCCCAGGACCTGATAGTCTGACGACATGTTACTACCAAACCTTTCAGTCTACCTTGGCACCACACCTCCTTAAGACTATAAATTGTCTGACCCCTGACTCCCGCACCCACCCCTCCAATGCTGAAAGCCTCAATCACTATCCTCCTCAAACCAGGGAAGGACCCCATGGTGTGCGGTAGCTACAGACCGATATCCCTCATTAACCTAGTTCTCAAGCTGATAGCCAAACTTATAGCCAATAGGCTCAAGCCCCTTCTGCCTGGACTGATCCACCCTGACCAAGCTGGGTCTGTGCCGGGCCGCAAAGCCAGGGACAACACCACCAAAATCATGAGCATACTCCATGGGGCGACTACCACGAAAACACCAACGCTGCTCCTGGCGATTGATGCCGAGAAGGTGTTTGACAGGGTGGATTGGTCCTATTTCTTTACCACACTGGAGGCATTAGGGCTTAGGCCGAAGTTGCAAAACTGGATCCAGGCACTATATAGAGGGCCTGCAGCCAGTGTTGGTGTTAATGAACAACAGTCCAGCACATTCATAATCCGCAACGGCCCACACCAGGGTTTCCCCCTTTCCCCTCTTGTGTTTGTTCTTGCCATGGAACCTTTCCTCACGGCACTTTGAAACAATAACAAGATCTGGGGATGCAAGTACCCGGGGGAGAGGTTAAAGTCTCAGCCTTCGCGGATGATGTCTTGCTCACAATCACCGATCCACTGCGCACCCTACCGCCAGTCCAAATTGAATTAGAGAAATTCGGACCGTATGCTCCAAACAAGCTCTGTAGAACAGCAAGAGATCCAATTCCAGCAAAAATGGATGAGAGGTCTACACATCCATATGTCCAACCAAGACTGGACACACCTACTTGAGTCAGGTATTAAAGCCCCGGTCAGTATTTCCAGGAAAGAGGCCTTCTATAAGAGGGTCACCAGATAGTATAGATCCTCTGTATAGCTTCATACTTAAAGGCCTGCAGTGAGTGATAAATGATGGAGATGCAGTAGGGAACAGGGAGATATGGAACACCTGGTGGCAGTGCCAGGATATTTCCCCCTTCTGGCAGCAGGTATTAGCAGATGTTACAATGATCATCTCCTTGAAAGCCTGCCTAACACTATCCCAAGTCTTCCTAGGTTGGCCTAACTCCACAAGCGAGAAACCCAAACAACAACTACTGAACATAATGCTGGGGGAAGCAAATGCCCTCATCCGGTATACTGGCAAAAGACATGTATTCCCAATAGAGAACAGTGGGTGCAGAGGGTGGAGAGAGTGAGGGAGCTGGAGGAAATGCACTGGTCAACATTAGGGTAAAGGGATAAATACTTAGGCACATGGATACCCTCGATAAGACATTGGAAAGACACGCCTTAGAGACTCCAAGTTGTTAACGAGGGGGGCCTCAATCCTGAGAAGATACGTAACCACACCATTACTAACACAGATAAAAGATGGAATAGCAGAGATCCTACCCAGTAGCAGACTTAGGCAAATCCCTGCCCCCTCCCCCATCCTAATCCAACCAGCAGGAGTCACACAATCTAGGTATAGAGGCATTGTAAGACATATACCTTTGAACAAAGACCAGAGATTGAAGCAGACCCAACCTAACCAGGGGCGGTATAGCCACACTTAGGAGTACCCCACCAGTTGCATATAGGAGGGAGAGCGTCCACCAGAGAGGGGAGACGGATAGTCGAACGCACTTAAGAACTTTCATTGAACAAAATAACTGCTGACTGTGAAATGCTAGATGGATGGTTGGTCACGTATCCAATTTACCTCTGTGTTAAGACCTGAATAGAATGTAAAAGCCTTATGATGTTTTACTGTTAAAATGACAACATGCTACCTCCCCTATTTTCTTCTGTATCCCATTTACATGTTGATATTTAAAATAATAAAAACTAATTTTAAATTAAAAATAATAATAAGCTTAGGGAGTTTGAAAGATAAGATGAAAAAAATATTGAAAATAAACACTAAAAAATTAATAACCATTTTGTTCACTGTCTTTGTCTATAATAATTTCTGCAAAGCTAGTGCAACAAAAAAAAATAGCTCGAAAGTTTTAGGAAAATACTTGTCCTAAAACGGTCAACAATTTACTGAAATATAAGATATTTAACATTTACAACTAATAAGTGAATTATTAGTTGTAAATGTTAAATATCTCATATTTCAGTAAATTGTTGACCGTTTTAGGACAAGTATTTTAACGAATGAATTATAGTTTTAAAGCTTAAAGTGACACACCTGTCAGTGTAGGCTTTTTACTGTAAACACTGCATTTTCAGAGAAAATCCTTTAAATCATAGTAAATAATATAAATCAAGCATGTCAAACTCAAAGGCTAGACGGGTTTAAGTTCATGTGGGGCGCAAAAACAAACAAACGTTAAATATTCATATAAACTTAGGTTTGTTTTAAAAAGTACAGTATAAAAAAAAAGCAGCATCCCTCTGTACTAATTCAATACCCCCTCCCCCCCCGTACTAAATCCCAGCACCGCCCTCTGGGAAACCCCAGCCCTTGTTTAAAAAAAACAAACAAAACACAATATTAGCCAACAAGCAGACTCCACTCACATTGCCACTTCCAGTATGCGACTCTGGAGTCCAGCCTGTGGTATACCCCCAATAGCGCTGTCCACATCCTGTGCCAAACGGATCCTCCTGCTACTCCTTGAAAACCTGTGAAGGTGGAGCACGTTAACGTCACGTCAGAATGTGGCGTTGCATGCCCGCCAGGTTCTTCTCTTGGGAGCTCACTCTTCTTGCTCCTCACTGCTCCTGTGCGCGCAGTTTAGTGATGACATATTCCAGCACCCGGCTTCACTTCAGACGGAGCGCGCAAGGGAGCAGTGAGGAGCCGCCAGAGACCTCTCCCCTGGACGGGTAAATGAGCAGAGTAGGCACCTGCAATGTGGGGAGAGCAGGTGCCTACTCTGCTTTAGTAAGCATGTCAAGCTCCCGGGCCGCAAAAATATTCATTGTGGGCCGCGAGTTTGACATGCTTGATATAAATGAAAATTGCAATGGAACACACAACAAAGGGAAAATTACACAATTGCCATCTTGATCCGGCAGGTCCTCTTCGCAGCCGATGTCATTATGCGCAAGAGTACTGTATTGAGGTCTATAGAGAATCCTGCTAGACCACGGGGTCTTCCATAGACACAGCCAATTTCCTGTTGGCATTGTCACTTGATATCCGCCCTGAGTCTAAGAAAGTCAGGTGGAGGAGAAATACAGACATGGTAGTCCATACTTTGTCTCTTTATATCTCTTGACTGGGTTGGTATTTCAGTTAAATTCAAACAGTCCACATAAGTGTTTTATAAAGATTCTACTTTTATGAAATACTCATTTTTCAGTTAATGGAGAGTGGGGCATGACCGTACCACTTTAATGCAAGCTTTGCCTTTTGCCAACAACAGGAAAAAGGTAAATTTGAGGTGACAAAGCAACTTAAAGGCAAGCTTGGTTTTGTGTATTTTTACATACACAGGCTTGTTGTTTTTGTGTTTGTTTTTCTTAATAAGATGGCATATAGCAACTGTGATATTATTAATCAGGAACTTGAACCATACAAAACTGTTCACAAATGCCCATATGGCCATAATTTAACATTAACCAGACCAAAAAAGTCAGACTGGGTGGAGTCATGTCATATGTGTTATGTGTGTAATGTTTGATGCACCACAGTATTTTAATTTGCACAATTATTTAATTTGTTATTTTTCTGTAACTGATGCCTATTTTTTGGCATGCAGCCATATATTTCAAATCTTTGCTTTACACATTTATTTATAATTCATGAGATATTGCCACTTTCCTGACAAAATGTGACATTTAATAACTTGCCTTTGAATCCGGTTCCTACAAATTCACATCCCTGTTTTCACCCTGATAATATTTTTATAACCTGGTTGGAGTTTTTGCATTGTTATCCCCAACTGAAAATGGGAAACCAGCATGATCATCCCATGTTGGAAAATAACGCAGAATGCATTTCATCATTTAAGTGGTACAAGCAGATAACCGAACTCTAATCAAAATGGTATTTACCATAATGTAATTTTTCTTTGCACAGTCAAACTTTAAATCCAACAGCTGCGCACGTGTGTGTGTGTGTGTATAAAATGTATTGCAGAATTATAGAAAAGATTTCAGAGAGGCAAATTTCTATTATAGTTGCTTCAGCTCACCCTAGAAATACAGAGGGATTGCTGCCTGTGTAGGGAGAAATCATTTGGACAAAATACTTCAAATATAAGTTCCATGTGTCTGGGTGTCACATTCTGTACAGCTTCCAAACTGTAGCTTAACATATAATGCAATCAATTTACAACTTGAAAGAGAAAAGGCAGATAGAGGATGATAGAATCCTTTCAATACAGAAAGGGATTAAAGGATCACTAGGGCCGGGGACACAAACATGTATTTCTGACCCTATAGTGTTAAAACCACCACCTAGCCCCCCTGGACCCCTCATGCCTCCATAAATATAGCAAAATCTTACTATATTCAAGCCTGAAGCTGTAACTCTGCATACTGTCTGACTCAGAATAACAAGCAGTCTGCTGACATCATCAGAAGTGGTAGCCTGATCCAATCACAGTGTTTCCCCATAGGATTGGCTGAGACTGACAAAGGGGCAGATCAGGGGCAGAGCCAGCATGATTCAAACACAGCTCTGGCCAATCAGCGTCTCCTCATAGAGATGAATTGAATCAATGAATCTCTATGAGGAAAGTTCAGTCTCTGCATGCAGAGGGAGGAGACACTGAATGTTTAGATGCATTTTAGGCAGCCATGACCCAGGAAGGATCTCTAACAGGTATCCGAGGAGTGGCCAGTGAAGTTATCATTAGGCTGTAATGTAAACACTGCATTTTCTCTGAAAAGACAGTGTTTACAGGAAAAAGCCTGAAGGTAATGATTCTACTCACCAGAACAAATTCAATAAGTTGTAGTTCTATAGTGTCCCTTTAAATGAAAGTGATGGAGAAAGTGTACTCATTAAAAAGAGATACTAGTGCAAAGGAGTGTAATTTGAACTTCAAATAGATAGACTATGGTAATGTGTGAAAATAGCCTTGTCTGTGCACACTAATATGTGCACCTTGCTTGGCGACACAGGAATCCACCTTTATTATTGGGTAATAAGCAAATATATGGACACAATCCTTGACTCAGTCAACCTTAGGAAGTTCCACATTTAATAATTTCTTGAGGTTATACTGACCTCTTCCTCAGGAGTGATAAACCTGTTTCTATTGGGTTTTACAGTGTTTATTTGTTGTTATTCTCGCACTGCCAAAAGTAATGATTTTTATCCTTTGTGTTTGAAGGGACACTCCATGCAGCTAAACAAGTTAAGCTTAAATGAAAGCTAATAAGCTCAAAAAACATGTGGTTGGTTTATTTTCTTTCAGAGCTGTGTAGTTTTCCTGGACTGCTGTAAAATGTTTTACTGTTTTCAGCAGTGTAACTTTGCCTCATTAGCCACCCCTCTCTCAAATTTCCGCATGCCCCTGATTCTCAGTCTCTGAAAGAAACGTACATTTTGCAGCCAATGAAAATAGAGGCATGTCTTATCTAGTGTAAGGAATGCTCACCTCACAGACTGCACTGCAGCTAGAGCCCATTTGTGCTTCTCTCCCTCCCTCCCCATAATGCAAGTAATAAATTATTCTTCAGCCCCTGCCAGCCAACCTTCCTACCCACAGTTAACCCCTTCCCTGCTAGTCAGCCAACCTCCCTACACACTGTTAACCGCCTCCCCTGCGAGTCCCAGTCAGCCAACTTGCCTACCCACTGTTAACCCCCATCCCTGCCATTGATGCACAGTATGGCTGAAATACAGGAAGCAGGGAGATATGACATTAAATCAGAGGAGGGGCAGAGAATCTGATGAAAGTAAATATTAAAATCGGTACTTCTGAAGCTCATTTTCACACTATGTACGGGGAAAAAGCATTAAGTTACACTAGGTTTCCTTTAAATGACTACACAAAGAAAGCTCAGAATGTCTCTCTCTCATCTTTCTATACATCTATATATATTCTGAGCTTTGTTTGTGTAGCCGTTTAAGCATAAAAATCATTACATTGAACATTATATATACGTTGAAGTAGCCAGGAATGATGGTGCAGAGTGGTGACTGGAGCATTCCTAATGTGCACCTCCCAGGAAAAGGTAGGAATTTAAGAGAAGATATACCGTTTATACATATGGTTTTCTTTGTTTCTGAGATTTGCGCTATAATCTCCTCTCTACTTGCATTTTATGAGCTACAGTCACGATTAGGAATGAATACTAGTGATGTTACTCTATTATGATATGTATATTGGCTTTATCTGGTCTATCACCTATTTTCTGTATATACTTTGCAGTGGATAGTTGGTGCAGCTACTATTGCCGTTGTTTTTAAAAGTGTTGAACAATGAGTAATATGATTTTGTAAATGTCCATTTGGTGCAGGAATTTGCTCTTGTGAAAGCTCATCCGTACTCTGTCTTCTTCTCTTTCTCCACCTCTCACTAAAATTCTCAATCTCTCTCTCCCCTCTGGCATATTTCCATCGCCCTTCAAACATGCAACTGTAACCCCAATTCTAAAGAAGCCCAATCTTGACCCTAACTCCCCATCCAACTATCGTCCTATCTCGCTACTGCCTTTTGCATCCAAGATCCTTGAAAGAATTGTGTATGCGAGATTGACAGACTTCCTCGAGTCCAACTTTCTGCCAGACCCGCTTCCGTCTGGTTTCCGCGCTAAGCACTCTGTGGAAACGGCACTGACCAAAGTATCCAATGATCTTCTTGCTGCAAAATCTTGTGGTCACTACTCTATCCTAATTCTCCTTGACCTGTCTGCGGCTTTTGACACTGTTGATCACCAACAGCTTCTTCTCATCCTCCGCAATATCGGTCTACAAGACCTCCTACCTCTCCCAGCGCTCTTTCAGTGTTTATTTCTCTGGCTCTGCTTCTTCTACCCAACTCCTCTCTGTTGGTGTCCCCCAAGGTTCAGTACTTGGTCCCCTACTGTTCTCCATCTACACTGCCTCCCTTGGTAAACGTATTAGTTCCTTTGGCTTCCAATATCATTTCTATGCAGATGACACGCAAATCTACCTGTCCTCTCCTGATCTCTCCCCGTCCCTCTTAACTAGTGTATCCAACTGCCTCTCTGCTATTTCTAACTGGATAGCTGCCCACTTCCTTAAACTAAACTTGACCAAAACTGAAATTCTGGTCCTTCCTCCCTCAAGTGTTGTTACTCCTGTGTCTCCCTCCATCCAAGTCAACGGTGCTACCATCAGCTCCACCACGCAGGCTCGCTGCCTAGGTGTTCTCTTTGACTCCGACCTCTCCTTCAAGTCTCATGTTAAATCTATCGCCAAATCCTGTCATTTCCATCTCAAAAACATTGCGTGCATCCGCCCCTACTTAACGCCAGATGCGACTAAGGTGTTGGTCCATTCCACTGTCCTTTCTCGCCTTCACTACTGTAATCCGCTTCTCAGTTGTCTTACGTGCTCCCAACTTGCACCATTACAGTCCATTATGAATGCGGCGGCGAGGCTCATCTTCCTGTCCGCCCGTACCTCCCATGCCTCACCCTTCCGTCAGTTGCTCCATTGGCTTCCTATAAAATAGAGAGCTCAATTTAAAATTCTGCTTCGTGCTTTCAGATCTCTACATAATGCTGCTCCCACCTATCTATCCTCCCTTATACACAAGTATGTCCCTTCAAGGCCCTTACGATCTGCTGGAGTCTTACGTCTATCTTCTGTCCGTACTCCCACGCTCGCCTTCAAGATTTCTCGAGGGCTGCACCGTTCCTGTGGAACTCCACTCCTTCAAAAAATCATTAAAAACCCACTTCTTCATAAAAGCGTATCAATTAAACTGTTAATAGCTCCTGACTGATTCCTCTTCTGCAGCTGTCACTAGTCTAATACTATCCTTACCTTTTTGTGTCATTTTACCCCACTCCCTCTAGCATGTAAGCTCATTGAGCAGGGCCCTCTGTTCCTGTGTGTCCAACTTGTCTGGTTACAACTACATGTCTGTTCGTCCACCCATTGTAAAGTGCTGCGGAATTTGATGGCGCTATATAAATATCATAATAATAATAATAAAGCACAAGCAGAATAAAAAGCCATTAAAGGGAAACAATTACCTTATTTTTAATGTATTACTATGATAATGAAAAGATTAAAATAGATACTGTCACAGTCATCACTACTCTACTACTAGCGTACCTGCGACTTGCTTCAGTGGGTGAAAGGTTTAAAAATCAATATTTGTTGACACTAGATCCAAAATAATGATAGAAAATACCACCCATGCTTCTCTCTAGTATCAAAACTGGCACTGCCTTGGGTAACCCCACCAAAGTGAGATTTAAAGCCTCACAAAATACAATTTAGAAAAATAGGTATGCAATCAAAAAGAGGACACATTATTCACACATAAAGAACTTCAGCAAACTAAAGTGTGTTAGGTGCGTGGAGTGTTCCTTTAAGATACGCTGGTCCTGTTTTGATTTTGTGTCTAGGGAATACCCTCAGCATTCAGAATATGTATAACAGGAGGCATGATTATTTATCTCTGCATTAATATTAATTTTATTTGGATATGACTCTTAGCAGAGGAATTGTCTCCTGACTGTAATTGTTAGTGCTCATGTCAAAAGGGCCCATGGTTTGCCGAGGAGAGCTACAAAAGGTGTGCACCTACCTTGGGTGCAAGGTCTCACACCTGGCCAGAAAAATGCAGGAGGGAACTCCATCAACCCATTTCCTATGACCAGGAAAATTGTACATTTTACTGTAGCAGGCAAATTTACCATTCCAGTGGTGTAATGAGTCATACCACTCCTATTAGGTAACTATTTCATGTATTCATTACACCCATCACATTTAGTAACAATATTTCTATAGTGCATCAATTAATCACTCACGGTGTATGACACTTGAAAGTTCCCAAGTTCCCTGCCTGAAGAACATCTCAGAAGCCTCATGTTGGTTCGACGGAGTCTGTTCTTATTTCATAAACCTATGTCCATCAGCGTTATTGGATAGGCAGTAGAAAGGTTCCACTTATCGCTGAGAATGACAAGAACGTCTCTGTGAACTGCTATCCAGTTCACTATTTAGTGAACAGTGCTATGTACACTGATCATCTGTCCCTGTTGTACATGTGTCCTGTGAACTCTACACAACTTTGAAAAACTGACCTTCCTAACAAGAAGACTACTGTCTTATTGACAGTTGGGAGGTGGAGCTATATGCTCTGCATCAAAGGCTATTATCTCAGAAGTTAATGAGCCTTGAGAATCGACCGTATGAAAACAGAAGTTTTGTCCCCTATGAAGCTGCAGTAGTTTGAGTACTTCAAGTAATCCTTCAAATTTGACTCTTCCTCAATATTGGAAAAGCAAAACAGACAAAGGACACATAGCTCTTATATTAATGTCCGACATCACATTTAGAGGTATATTCAGTAAACCAGGATTCATGGAGAATGTAAAATTGAATAACACATCTCAAGTATGCGTGTTCTTGTTTTCATTTTACAAAAAGTGCAGAATTCAATAGAAATTGCCACTTTTATAAATGAACCTGGTTACACCCCTGCCTGTCAATCCGGTAACCGGTCCTGTTACTTCATTAGAGCTAAATTCAAAAGGAAGGCAATTGCACAGAGCACCTGCCTTGCAAAGACTTCTCATTGAGAAGCATTGGGACGTCTGTGATTGGACAGCCACAGAAAGTCTGGGCGGAGTTAGAAGGGGAGAGCTTTCAAAGGCTGCACACTGCAGATCTGCAGCTTTTGCAAGCTGTCTTTAGATACAACCCAAATGAAATATGTATAATTAAAAGTCGTGCAGTATCCCTTTAAGCCAAAATGATCAGTGTCTCTTTAAGCCAAAATGTTGTCATTTAACAGTCCATCTATGTTTGTTTAAAATTTTCAGTTCCTTTGTTAATGCTCCATTGTTCTTGGTATCAACCCCTTATGGCAGGCTGACAATGATTCATGCACTATTGTTATCAGTTTTACACTGCTCAATCTCCAGCATCACAGTATATAGTAGTTATCGGTCAAGCTTTTAAACTCTCCTTTCCTAGACATGACTTGAAGTTAAATGAATGAACATTTGTGATAAATTCACTCCTATTTTGATTTAACGTCTCAGCACTCGTTCTCTGTTTAAAAATTCCCAGGATGCAGAATTCTAATGGTTTCACACAAACACACAAAAAAGCCTGTTTCATTACTCTGAAAAAAAAAAAAAAAAAAAAGCAGCTCGACTTTACATGGCAAAGGGCAATTAGACACAGTCAAATATTGCCCAGGTTAAAGACTATTTATTTTCCCACATCTGTCACAATGTAATCTATTTTTTCCTTGCCTATTTAAACAATAATTCATTGTTCTAAGCAGTCTGCTTTTTGCTATATTTAAGAATTAAATTTGCTTTGGTAATGAACTGAGAAGTTAATAATCATTTTGCATTGCAAAAAAAGGCAATTACAGGCTGTCAAGATGTTTAGTGTCAGAGTTCATCTGAGTACTGCAGATGTCTTAGAAGAACATTTGGTAGGTGAAAGGGTGAATTTTAATTAGAACTAAAAAGAGGTTTTGCTACAGACATCATTTAGTCACGAAGACAAAGAAAGCACTTTCCCCTCCCCGATTATCAATTGCATGGGATATTCTCTGCTGGTGAATGCCAGTCTTTTAACGCGCTTTAGAGGAAAATCTTGTTAGCCATAGTAAGAAACCTAGCTTATCTGTGAAATTCTCTGTGTTAGAGGAAAGACGTTTATTTATTTTTTATTTTATGAAAATTATTTTCCGTTTCTGCTCATATTGCACTCCCGTGGTAGTTATGTTACAACCCCTTCCCATATTCTAAATGAAGGTATATTGAGCATCCCTAGAAGTACAGACATGTAGTCTACAACAAAGTTAAATGACCAAACAGAATGATTTCTGCAACGGTACTGAAATGGCTACTTTCTAAATTCGTTCCATTGTTGTGTGGGTTTTATTGTCTTTAAACTACACCGGTGTGTGAGATTTTCACATTTTTTTTCCCCTCATTTGCAGATGACCTCACCCAGCATGTCCGAGTGAAACACATAGAAGCAGCCAATGGAAAACCGCCATTGCTTCAACTCTGTGAATTTTGTGGCCAGGCTGTGAAACATTACAAGAGCCACAAAATATTTTGCAGGTACCTCTAGACGCCTGATTTTCCATGGTTTCTTTTATGTAGAAAAGAAAGCAAGAAAGCTAGAATCATTTTTTTTAAAATGTAAAACAAATATTGATTCTGGACCTCTAAATGTCTTTTGTGTTGATTTGGTATCTGAAAGGGTTACAAGAAGGAACATAACAACTTATGCTCGAAGAATGTTCATTTAAGTTTGCAAGGTTCTACTCAATGAGAACACAAAAAGATGACCATCAGCACTAATAGCTTGCAATTCCTATAATTTTCTGTGAGCCTACAATAGTGAGGAAGATTGTTGTTTGGAAACCACTGATGGACTTATTGCATATGTGAGTGGATAGGTAATGGCTTCCTCTTGAGTTTAGTTACACTGAGCTAACCAAACACGAAGTAACAAGACCAATTGACACTTTTATAAAATAACCTGGTTACACCCCCTGGCTGTCAATCAGTCAACTGGTCCTGTTACTTACTGGTTTGGGTAGCTCAGTGGAGCTAAACTCAAGAAGCAGACAATTGTTCGTTCAAAACACCTGGCTTGCCAAAACCTCTCATTGAGCTGGGAAGTCTGATTGCACAGCCGCATAAAGTCTGGACTTGGTTAGAAGGGGTGGGCTTGGAAAGGCGTCAGAGAAGGGAAATGCAACTTGCAAACTGTATTTAAATATACCTCCAATGAAAAAAAAAAAATGCATAATTAAAGGGACACTAAAGTCACCAAAACCACTTTAGCTTAATAAAGCAGTGTTGGTGTACAGATCACGCCCCTTCAGTCTCACTGCTCAATTCTCTGCCATTTAAGAGTAAAATCACTTTGTTCTTAAACACTTCCTCTAAAGAGTTATCTAATCTTTATGCTTCTTTTTTAATTCAGCTTAATTTAGAATTTCTTATAACCAGCATTGTTAATACTTTGCTATAACTTGCAGGAGTCTCCTCTGTGTGAATGAAGTTTAATTTACAGAGCAGGAAATAAAAACGTTTAAAGTAAGTTAACATTTGAATGAAAATGAAAACATTTTATTTTCATGCTGGCTGTGTCAGTCACAGCCAGGGGAGGTGTGGCAAGGTCTGCATAAACTGAAAGAAAAGTGCTTTAACTCCTAAATGGCAGACAATTAAGAAGTGATCCTTCAGATGCATGACCTATACACAAAAACTGCTTCATGAAGCTAAAGTTGTTTTTGTGACTACTGTGTCCATTTAAATGTATCCATGTTTTCACTAGGGGTATATCTAGTAAATACTGATTTTTGTAGTTAAGCTGTGGACTGTCCATTTGAAGTGGAGAAAGTAGCAGGAAATCTGTATCCACCATAAAAAAAAAACAATAGAATAAAATATAGCAAAGGTTAACATTTATCTGAATTGATACCTTACGCTAATCTTTAAACTTGAGTTAGAAACAAATCACAAACGTTTGGAGATGATTATTACAATGGGCTCTGTCAAAATGAAATGCGTTATTCATTGAAAGTTTTGTTGATGCATAAAAAACAACAACAAACTGTTGCTTTGCATTTACCCTGAGTTGCACTCTTAGAACTCATTCCATCCGAGTTCTTGCTGACCCTTGTAACTTAAGACCTCTTGGAGGAACCGAAGAATAGTGATAGCACCACTTCTCTTTTAAGTAGCAAATTATCTGGGTTACCCAGGACTTAGTGAGTAGTGCACTGAGTCATAAATAAACAATTCCAAGGATATAGTTTTAATAAGTATAAGGCTAAAACAATCATTTATAGAGAAAATAAAGATTCTCTGCAGAGATTGCAGATTATTAACTTATAATAAAATAAGTTTGATGTACCAGTCTATAAACTCAAACCTCCCTCCGTATCGGACACTGTAAATGGCAGTCTATGCATCAAAACAACTTTTATGCATTTTATAGCTTTTGGCCTCTAATTAGCTGTGTTTGTGCACGCTCACATGTATGTAGTTTTTTTGGGGGGAGGTGGAGGGAGAATGCTCCCTGCCTACTCTGACCCACCTCCTCTATTTTAAAAATACTTCTATGTGCTGATTACCCGGGCTGTTGCTAGAGTCAACTTCCAGAATGCTTTAGTATCGATGATTTCAGCCAATCCAATGCTTTCCCATAGAGACCATCTAACGGGTGAAGCACAGTGATTTGACGTGCATGTGCACTAGCCTCCCAATGCTTTCCTATGAGACTATCTGATTGAAATAGTTTCATTCGGCTATTTCTGCAGAAGAGCATCTATTGACTGTCATTATAACAGCCATTAGAGTCATTTAAACCATGAAGAATTGCCATGTTTTCAGCTGCAAGGTTAAATTGAGAGGGACATGGCACCCAGACCACTTCAATGAGATTTTTAGCTTTGTTTCTACCCCTCTCCATGAAACAATCTCTAATAAGTTGTACATGCACCCTGTATCCAATGAGCTGCAGTGATCTGGGTGCCTATATTGTTATTTATGTCTTTTTATTAACCCCTTAAGACTGAAGGGCGTACTATTACGCCATATTTTAGGCGGCTCTAAACGCCGCCGGGCGTAATAGTACACCCTCCGGTTTATTTCTTTACTTACCTGGTCGCCGGCGATCCGACGCCGGCGAGCACGGTTGGGGGGACCCCCAGGGAGCCCCCCGCGGCACATCCGACCTCCTGTAGCCCCCCCACATGGCCGGGTTAGCTGGCTGTTGCATTGCCAGCAGGGGAACTGACTGTAATGACAGTTAGCCCCCCTGCTGGCCGAATTCAAATAAAATTAAAAGTTAATAAGTGTAAAAAAATAAATAAATTATAATATACTTAGATCATATATTACATACACACACATGCACTGTCTAGGTGTATTTTACTATTAATATATATATAATTATTGTTATATATTTATATACAATATAAAAAAAAAATGTAAATACGTTAAAAAATAAAATTAAAAAAATAATGAAAAATAAATAATAAAAAAATAGATGTGTGTTATTTCGTTCTAACTGTATTGTGATATTAATATATATATATTTATATCAAAATACACAGAACGAAATAATATATATATCTATATACATAAATATATACGTATATCAATATATATATAATATATATTTATGTAATATTTTTACATAATTAGGTATCTTAATTAATTACAATTAGCGGGACCTGCCTGACAACCCATGCCGAAAGTGAAGGGAATTTTATTTGCTAGCACTATATTTAACCCTGTAACTTTCCAAGACACCATAAAACCTGTACATGGGGGGTACTGTTCTATTCGGGAGACTTTGCTGAACACAAATATTAGTGTTTCAAAACAGTAAAATGTATTACAACGATGATATCGCCAGAAAAAGTGACTTTTTTGCATTTTTCACGCACAAACAGCACATACACAGACGATATTATTGCTGCGATACTTTTTACTGTTTTGAAACACAAATATTTGTGTTCAGCGAAATCTCCCGAGTACAACAGTACCCCTCATGTACAGGTTTTATGGTGTTTTCAAAAGTTACAGCATCAAATATAAGGCTTGTGTTTAATTTTTTTCACATTAAAATTCGCCAGGTAGCCCAAGAATGAAAATTACCCCTATGATGGCATACCATTTGCAATAGTAGACAACCCAAGGTATTGCAAACTGGGTATGGCCAGTCTTTTTTAGTAGCCACTTAGTCACAAACACTGGCCAAAATTGGCGTATTTTGCATTTTTCACACACAAACAAATACTAACACTAACTTTGGCCAGTGTTTGTGACCAAATGGCTACTAAAAAAAAATGGACATACCCCATTTGCAATACATTGGGTTGTTTACTATTGCAAATGGTATGCCATTATGGGTGTAAATTTCATTCCCGGGCTACTATACAGTCTTAAAGGCAACATAACCTATCTGGTGAATTTCAATTTAAAATGTAACGTGCTATATTTGACCCTGTAAATTCCCAAAACGCCATAAAACCTGTACATAGGGGGTACTGTTTTACATGTGAGACTTTGCTGAATACAAATATGTGTATTTTATTGCAGTAAAAGCAAACAGTATTATGACATTGACAGTTAAAATGTCATGTAGAACTAAAAAACTCAAAAAAAATCTTTTCTCCCATTTTTTTCATATTAAATTATGTCTCATAGCTAAATATTTGATATTAAATGAAAGCCCTGTTTCCCCTGAATAAAATGATATATAATAAGGGTGGGTGCATTTACTATGAAAGAGGTGAATTACGGTTGGACAGGCATGTAGCGCAAATGCTAGGTTTTGTTTACATTTTGTTTTGTTCACAACCTGTACATTTGGCTCAGTCCTTAAGGGGTTAAACTGCTTGTCATTACGGTCCATTAGAAATGGAATCAATTTCAGTCTGGTTTGTCTCTTTATAACTAGTTATTTACTGTCTATCTGCACACAAAGAATTCATACATATTAATATTTTGACTTTTTTTTTTTTCCTTTCAAATAGCGGAGTAAAGAAATTTAAGTGTGACTTTTGTGTACAGTCATTTCACCGTATCTCTGAATTAAAGAGGCACACATGGACCCATACTGGGGAACTACCATATCGGTGTAAAGTGAGTACCAACAATTTTCTAAAAACATGAACTTGAAACATTTAAAATGGTTATTGCCAATTCAATTGCATTTTAACTTGTATAATTTATAACCTTTTTATTGATTTGTTTTATTTAATTTTTCCCATAGATCTGTGGTAAAGGCTGCAGACACCCCAGTAACATGAAGAAACACATTCGTACTGTGCATAAAGCAGACATGCGTGTGCAGATCAACCGTGAACATGCGTCTCCAAGATTCTGCAAGAACAGGAGGAATCCTGCAAAATATCCTGGACAGATTCTGCAGCAGCCATTGCCTAGCAACCACTCCATGATGCAGTCAATCCCTGTTGCTGCTACTGAACCAGTTATTCAGACTGACTCATCTGTGTCTCCTGTGTCTATGGCCTACCTATCCATGACTACCACTGCTGATCATTCAACCAATGATTTTGCCTCATATGAATCTCAGAACACTTCCCCTGAGATAAACAGGCCCCTGTAACACGGAGTTTAGTTTTTATTATTCAATTTTTCACATATGATGTATTTAAACAATATTTAAAATGTCTGAACCTACTGGTACAATTGGTTACTCCCTTTGGAACTTTCAGCACAAAGATTATTGTGGCAAATAATTACAATGACAGGTTTTGGGTGTGTTTCCAATTCGTTTTGAGAATCTCAAGATATAAAATCGTGTATTTTTCTTCGAAAATGTAAAATGTAATTATAATTAACTGTTTTAAAAAGCAAAGAGCCAAAGAGGTTTGAACTGAAGGTGGGTTTACTGAGAAAACCAGCACAGAAATTTTCAGTCGTTGTTTGCTCTTGTGTTCCTTGTAGACTTCATTGCCAAGTTCAAAAACTGTAAACAGTATTTCGTAAAATGAGTCCACTACTACACCCATTTTTTTAAGGCACCTTTTCTGTGAATGTATGTACTTGTGGAATATCAGACTATTGCCAATTTATTTTGTGAAAGATATTGTATGGTGCTACATGCAAAACAAAAGTTACATTTGTATGCTTTGTAGAAGTTTCTGTTTTCAGTGGGTTGCAAAATTTCAACCAAAACTGTTGTATGCCCCCTCCTCCCCCCCTCCCTTCCTGTCATTGTGACAACATTACGCGTTTTTAATTGTTGGCAGCTCTTCACACAAAGCTCATTGGGTAGTTTAGAAACCTTTTTGGTCCAGATCACTTTTGCACTAATCTTCCATTATTCAATAATACTGAAATGTTTGAAATTATAGTAATATATAATATAATATAGGCCATATCAATTACATGCTGCTATGCAGAAAATTAACACAGTTGTCTAGAGAGATTATTTCACTTGGTAAATATGTTTTTAAATGTGAGGGAAAAAAGGGACTAGAAGGTGGTGGGTTAGACCCACCCCCTAATAGACCTAGTATCCTTGAAGGGAGGGTAGCTCTTAGAGTAACTGGACAAGTGCCTAATTATAGAGCAAAAAAAGAGAGAACTATTTAAACTTTAATGGTCCCTCATAAGGAACAAAAATAAAAGTGAAAAAAATGTGTACTAACTAAATAGATAATAAATAACAAGACTTAAAAAGAGACTAAACGTATTTACATTGTTATAGATCCGATATATCCAGTGTCTAGCTCTACATAGTATGTTGCAAAGTGTTACAAAAAAGTAAAGTCTAAATAAATCATTGGTGGGATTTTAAACAGAGTGGTATATAAATTGGCTACATTAGAGTGAGGAGATTTAGCCGTTATTAACCCTCAAGGGTATGCAGAGACAGGGTTAGGTGAATGAGTATTTGTGGCAGTATGTGGTAATAGTCCCTGAATTCTATAAAGAATATTAGAGAGAAGACCTGTAAGCCACAATTATAATACCCGGTAAAATAGTAAGTAGATACACCAGTCTGAAAGAGGGTAGAGGGTCAGTAAATGAACCGCTGCAACTATGAGTGGATAGTGACCCAGTTGGTAGCCGAGGTGATTGCCTGAGTGTGTAGTAACTTAGTAGCCCCAAAGTCTCTACTTGGGACCGAGATAATGTCTGAGGATCTTGGAATAGAAGTAAGTACAACCATAGATTAGATCACCCCAATTCCACCATTAAATAGCTGGTATTCGTCTAGAGGCAGGTACACCTCAAGCGGACAAGTTGCAAAATTATAATTTAGTAGGCGAAAGCTGCTAAAAGTATATGGACTTTGTAGCCAACGAATCCTACTTAGGACCAAGACATATATCTAAGTGTCTCGGATAGTAAAGCGGTACATACAGCCAAAAAAAAACAAATCCCACCATACAGAAGCCAATGTACATCTAGAGACAGGTATAACTAAGTGGAAAGTGGCTTAAAACCATCATAAATAGCTCCCTGTAATACTGTGGGGGGGGAGGGATGTCCCTAACAGAAGAGTAAAGACTAGCACTGGCTTTGCAGCCAACGAATCCTGCTTAAAATCGAGACGTATATCTGAACGTCTTGGATTATGAGGCAGTATGTACAGCTAAACCCTAGAGCACCCAAATCCCACCATATAGATGCCAATATGTGGCCGGAGACAGGTATGACTAATACTATAAGGAATTAGGGGGAAGGGTGTCCCTAAAAGAAGGTAGCAGAGAGAAGGCTAACCCTGTCTAAATCCCTAAGGAGATCCTATCAAATAGAGAGAGAGGAGAGACTCTAATGGTCTAAATTTAAAATAATAATCCGCAGTACGGGAAGAACTGGCTCAAGGTGCGTTTCGGCGAACCTTATTGCCTTTGTCAAGAGCTGACTGTGGGCTTACACGCGCCTCTTTTTAAACCCACAATGGGGTACGCCCATCAGGCGTGATGTCATGTGGCGTCCGTGAATCAAATTGATGAGGGGGCGTGTTCACTAATGGAACGGAGCACGTGGTAGAAAAGTGTGTTAACTCCTAAGTCACCTTTAGACTTTAGTAGGAGTTGAATACTAAGTAGGCACTAAGTAAACCTTCACAGTTTGCCAAACATAATGGCAAGAGAATACCCTTCAAAGGTTATTAGAAGGGGTATAAATATAGTGTGAAACTATAGGATAATGAAAGGAGAATTAAAGGACATGTGTTCTCAAAATTGTTACGAAAAATAACTTTCATCGATGGTAATAAGAATAGTATGGACCTTAAATGAACACTATAGTCACCTAAATTACTATCATTCCCCTGCAATTTCACTGCTCAATTGACTGTCATTTAGGAGTTAAATCACTTTGTTTCTGTTTATGCAGCCCTAGCCACACCTCCCCTGGCTATGATTGACAGAGCCTGCATGAAATAAAAACTGGTTTCACTTTCAAACAGATGTAATTTACCTTAAATAATTGTATCTCAATCTCTAAATTGAACTTTAATCACATACAGAGGCTCTTGCAGGGTCTAGCAAGCTATTAACATAGCAGGGGATAAGAAAATCTTAATTAAACAGAACTTGCAATAAAGAAAGCCTAAATAGGGCTCTCTTTACAGGAAGTGTTTATGGAAGGCTGTGCAAGTCACATGCAGGGAGGTGTGACTAGGGTTCATAAACAAAGGGATTTAACTCCTAAATGGCAGAGGATTGAGCAGTGAGGCTGC